TATGTATAATAGAGAAAACATAGATCCAAGGTATTTAGGGTTGCATGTACACTTAGGAGTGTTAGAATGCTCATAACCCAACACTTACTATCTTTATAGGATATTTTACCGATCTTAACTTACTATCTTTATAGGATATTTTACTGTTCCTATCTTACTATTATTATACGATATTTTACCGATCCCATGTTATTATCTTTATAGGATATTTTATCGATGACATCTTACTATTTTATGTTTTAGGATACTTTACTAATCCTAACTTATTTTATTACCTATTCGAAGGTGTCCCTCTAGGTATTTGATTTCCTTAAGTTTGTCTGAATGTATTACCATGAGCCCCCATAATCGACGTTCTAGACTGATAACTTCCCCCACACGACGCTTCAGCGGATGTCGAATGATACTTATATAAAGCAAGTTACCCTACCGGGACTGTAGCTAGCGATCGCAGGTGGGGGTGTCAACCCCCGTATAGATCAACACATATCTTGTTGTCTCTTGCAAGATTAACGATTATAGGTTCGGGGTAGCCGAATTTGATCACACTAAGGATGAATAATAACATCTCACTAACGCATTACCCTTAGGTCTTTTATCTTTTAACTTTTCTTACATAGTAATTCGCTATCATTATCACAATATAATTCTTTTACTTTATATTTGATAATTATAATTTTTTATATCTCATAATTATCATATGTATATATATATAATTTTTCCATACATAGAAATGAATCTTTTTCCAAAAAGGATTATAAAACTCTCAGATCCATAGTTTGAGTTTGCAATCCCACGAGTGTTCATCTAAGTCCCTCTAACCATGGCTCTGATACCAACTTGTAACGTCCCAAAATTGCAAAACAAAATTTTCATTTTTAAAATAGAATAAACACCCATTTTATTAAAGTTACATTCAAGTAAAACCAATTGTTCATAAACCATAATTAAAAATCAGAGTCATAAGGAAGACAATACGAAATCTCTAATCATAAAACTGTTCATGCATGTTTATAGTCCCACCTTCATAGTTTGTTAAGTACCTGAAAACATTTAATCCACAACCATAGGTACAAAGCTTAGTGAGTTCCCCAAAATATCACAAACAACACAACATGATAATGAACTACGGGTTATCAGCAACCATGGGACTATCAACATTCATGAGGACTATCAACATTCCTAAATATCACATACAAGACCACAATATAAATATATATGGGTTATCAGCAACCTTGGTGACTATCAGCAGTCCCAATGTGTCATACCTCCCTCGACCATTGGCGTAAGCACCAAGGGGTGACAGTGGTTACATAGATTACCTAAATCACAAGGCAAAAACCATAATTACCATTTTATAAATAAATGAAGTCTATTACATGGAATAAATAAAACCAATCTATATTCAAGCTGATTTTCCTTCCTTGCATCGATCTTTCCTCCATCCTAGGAATACATGCGGTTTTGAAAACGACAACTTGATGTCGGTGAGTTCACAGGTTTTAGATAAACATATAATAAACTCTTTTGAAAACTTTTTAGGAATTTTTACAATGATTCTGATCATTTTTTCCTATATCCCATGTTTCCTATATTTTACTATATTGTATCTTCCAAAGTTCCTTGTATCTTGTAACTTATAAGTCTTCGAACTACTTAAATTTTTATGTTCCATATTCTTTTAGGATATTCTATTAATCCTAATTCATTATACATCCATATGATATTTTACCAATCCTATTTTACTATCTTTATGGGATATTTTACCAATCCTAACTTACTATCTTTATAGGATATTTTACCAATCCTACTTACTATCTTTATAAGATATTTTATCAATCATACTTACTATCTTTATAGGATATTTTACTGACCCTAACTTACTATCTTTATATGATATTTTACCGATCTTGTCTTACTATCTTTATAGGATATTTTACCAATCCTACTTTAGTATCTTGATAGGATATTTTATCAATCATACTTACTATCTTTATAGGATATTTTACCGATCCTAACTTACTATCTTTATAGGATATTTTACTATTCCTATCTTACTATTATTATACGATATTTTACCGATCCTATGTTATTATCTTTATAGGATATTTTATCGATGACATCTTACTATTTTATGTTTTAGGATACTTTACTAATCCTAACTTATTTTATTACCTATTCGAAGGCGTCCCTCTAGGTATTTGATTTCCTTAAGTTTGTCTGAATGTATTACCATGAGCCCCCATAATCGACGTTGTAGACTTATAACTTCCCCCACACGACGCTTCAGCGGATGTCAAATGATACTTATATAAAGAAAGTTACCCTACCAGGATTGTAGCTAGTGATCGCAGGTGGGGGTGTCAACCCCCGTATAGATCAATACATATCTTGTTGTCTCTTGCAAGATTAACGATTATAGGTTCGGGGTAGCCGAATTTGATCACACTAAGGATGAATAATAACATCTCACTAACGCATTACGCTTAGGTCTTTTATCTTTTAACTTTTCTTACTTAGTAATTCGCTATCACTATCACAATATAATTCTTTTACTTTATATTTGATAATTATAATTTTTATATCTCACAATTATCATATGTATATATATATATATATATATATATATAATTTTTCCATACATATATACCCTAATTATGGTTGATTTGAAAATATGTTATTTAGGCAGAATAACAACTAGGTATAGTGCATATCTCTATAGTTGACTAACATTACTTTGAGGTACTATGTTATCCTAAGAAATTAGTCATTATAACATCTAGGTAATATCTCTTCCTAGACCATTGGACATCATAACTCTTAGGCATACTTTCATAGCTTACAATTAGGTATAGTATCAATGGTTACATTATCCTAATGTTTTATGCTTTATATGACTTACTATATATATATATATATATATATATATATATATATATATATATATATATATATATATACATTAAGTAGTTTTCTAAGCATGTATTCCCTCCCCCCTGGTAAAACCTTTAAATTAGTAAAATAGGGTCGTGAACGCACCCTAGTAGTGTGATCCGTAGTATCCTTGCTAATGCACCTGAAGCTTCCCGTCATTGGAAGAACTTTAGAGATAGATCAAGAGAAAGAGAGAGATTTTTGGGTGCGAAGATTCAGAATGTGAACACCTCTATTTATAGTGCATGTGTGCGCATCGCACTTCATGCGCATAATGCACATGACTCGTGGCTCCATCTAGAGCTTGCCACATGTCATACTCCTGGTGGTCAATGTCTCTTCTCTTGGGTTTTAGTATACTACAACATCCTATGGTGCACATACAACCCTAAATACCTTGGATCTATGTTTTCTCTATTATACATGCAAATGGTTTCCAAGGCATTAAACCTATAACTAGCATGCATTTGACATAAACCATATAATATACTAGTTAGGGAAACATACCTTTTATGTGGCTTGAAGTCTTGATGTATTTGGCCTTAAGAGCTTAGCACCAATAGTATGAAATGCCTCAAATGGAATCACAACACACCTAGGACAAAGGTGGCTCTTGAGAGAGAATTCCATGCACCAAAACACCTCCATATTTCTCTAAGAAAAGAAGTGGTGATTTTGGCTATGGAGTAACCTATTTATATGTAGGATTCCAAGGGTCATGGGTATAACCCATAATCCATACCCATGGGTTTTATGATCCATGGTTCATGTGGCCCTACTCTTTATGTATCCATACATAAACTTGGTCCAACATGGATCATAAGCCCAACACATATAAATATAACTAATTATCATAATTAGTCCCCATAGATTTAATTAGTCTCTTTTGATCACTAAATTAATTCCAAATTAATTCTTGATCGATACTAATTAAAACATATGATTTCATATTAATATATTATAACTTATAATATATTAATAAACCATAAATAACCTTCTCTCAAAAGTCCATCCTAACAAATTGTCCTGATGATATGCAACCCAAATGGACCATGCTACTCTCGGGTCAAGTACATACCAATAATAGTTATGGGCTTAGACATCTAATCCAACATCTTCAATGTCAACAGATCTGGGTGTCAGACCTACACGTCAAGCATGGCATGCACTTGGCCTGCAACACTAAATTTTCTATAAAAATTCATATATTCCTTATATGAATCTTGTTTCTTACCCTCTTTATATATTTGTGTAGCTCTCTACTAGTACTACAACTTTCCTTAAGGTTGCGTTGTCAAAGTCTAATTTTTACTTTTAACCCGTATTTTATATTTGTCCAAAAATCGCATCTTCTTTATACGTACTCCGTTTTTTACCCTTTTCCTTTTAATGTTCTTATCTCTCGGAGTACTACGATTTTCCTTTTAATGGAGTGGGTATGATGACCTTGATCTTCTAATAAGAATCTCTGTCAGGATTGAAGAAGATGGTTCTTTTAGGAGACGGTGCTCAAAATTGTTCATCATGCCATGTACTTCTTTCTTCAGGCGAGATCTCTGAAGATTTCTTTTTAAGAAGCATCTCTTGTTTAGACTTTAACTCCTTAGACTTAAGTTGCTTAGCTAACTCTTAATCTATTTCCATTTGAGCTTCTTTAGCTAACTCCTTCTTAGACCTGAAGACAATCTTCTGTTTTCCCCTATCCTTGGGATCAGTTTGAGGAAGCTTTGGTTGAGGATTGGTTTTGACGTGTTGACAAGTTTGGTGATGTAAACATCTTTCCTTCTTGGAACTTTTAGGGTTGGATCCTTGATCCCTTACTGTCGAACGAGTTCCTTTTCTTTCTCTACCATCTTTGCTCTGTTCTATTCATCTTTTAGTTGTGCATCAGCAACCATTTTGTCGAGTGACTCTAATTTCTCTTGTCTCCTTTTCTGAAACTCAATTGGTGAGTCTGGAATTTGATGTATGATAGGACACTGCCTTGATTTGGACTTGTTGACCTTTTCCCCCTCTGGTTCAGGTGGCCTGTCATTTGAACCAGATAACTTTGCCAATATCAAGTATCACTTGGATTCAGTAGAGGCAACTTTTTTCTGAAGTTTGCGTATATCAGAAGAAGAAGATTGTGTCTTGATATCCTTGACTTCATTGACTACCAAATGAACAGTCTTCTGAAGAGAATATATTTCACCTGAGGAGTTATTTTCTTTCTGGGAATTGCATTTTGAGAGATTTGCAATGTCAGATTGCAATGAATCCAGTTGACATTGGACTTGCTCTCTAAATGCTTGAAAGGGAGACATGGAGGATGATGCTAAACCTTTCGATAATTCTGCAACTGACGTCTCAAGAGTGGAGATGTATTGGTCTTGAGCCTTGATATGACTCTACAGATGATCTAACTTACCTTCATAGACAGACTCTAGACTGGATAAGGACTGAATAAATCATCTATCTTCTGATACATTAGAGATATACGATCTTCAATAGTGTTGTCAATTTTTTTGATCTAGAGTTTTGATCCACCACTTGTTACGAATAACTTTTCCCATGATATATGCAGCTGTGCCATCAAAGTCTTCAATGGTGACCTCAATTTTTTCACTTGTGCTTCTGTTGTCTCAAAGAGGATACACACATTGTCTGCCATACATTCAAGATACCATTGAAAATTTTCAATATATTCAGAGTGAGAAGATGTGTGAAATAGAATTTCCTTAATACCGTGAGCTACCATCTAAGCAATTAGTCTAATACGTTCAGGCTCAGGTTCAGATGTGTTTGCTTTATTTGTATCTGCTGGAGTATCATCGTCCTGAGGAGGATCCGGTGGAAAATAAGAGAACTTAGCTTCTTGAATATCATCATGTTCTTGGGACTCTTTATGAGGTGATGGAGAGTAATCATTAAGATCAATGTTGAATGTCCTGGTAGAAGGTTTGGAGTATAGGACAATTGACATGTCGTGTGGTTCATCATCGACTATCAGTCCTTCACTGGAAGGTATGTCTACCGTTTGCATTGGAGTATCCTCATCTTGATTATCTTGTACTGGAAAGCTTTTAGGGAGATCTTCAAGTTCAGATTTCTTTACACTGTCTTGATCATCGTCCTCAAGTGAGTCATAATCCAAGGAGACATGATTTCTTGGACTTTCTAGAACTGACTGAAAGCCTGCTGGTGAAACTAGAGCTAGGGAGGATGGTTCGACATAATCAGATGGAGCTTGAAACAAGGAATCTAAGAAAGAGAGTGGCTTAGAGGTTGTACCAGTTTTAAGAGGAAATGTGGGCTCATCTAAATCTACTCCAAGATTATCATTAGAGACGGCTAGAGATGGGACAAGAGGCGGTTGATCTGAATTTGCTCGCTTCTTTTTTAGTCCGACTTCTTGGTTGCATGATCTGAGTGCTTCCTCTTCTTTTTAGAAGATGAACTAGGTCCCTGGCTGTATTTTTATATGAGCGTAAAGAGGCACTGTTTTCATCCGACTTTGCTAAGATAGTATCTGGAATAATGATTGGATGTGAAAACTCAGAATGATATGTAGTACATAATCCTATATGGTTTCATACGCAAGAATTTTGGCAGTGGGCCTTCTGGAATCCCTTTTGGTGTAAGATTGCTATTATTGATGACATCATGAATAATTATAGACCACCCGCAAGGATGATGAATCAGGAACTTATTCTTTGAGGCAGGGAGAAAGGTAAGGACGTCTTCCCAAATAAGAGATGCGTAGGCAACGTTGATGTCATAGAAAAGCCCATACATGACAATCCAAAGATCTGTTTTACCGTGAGTACGTCCACCAACTGATCCGAAAATACATCGAGTGAGGATAGAATTGAGAAAGTGCCATGGTGTGGGAAGGCAAGCTTTCCTATTTCTTGAAAGGTTTAGTTTAGAGTTTTCTTCAAATTTATACCCCATTCCCTTGAACATTGTCAATAGTTGAGCAGAAGAAGGGGTGAAAAATGTCGTAGGTTTGCGAGAACCATTGCTTAGACCTAAACTGATTGCGAACTCTTCTTTAGTTAGAACCAAGTTAGCTAAAAAAAGATCAAATTCAACATCAAGATGCTTTGACTTTGCTCGTGGAGAGATGGCTACAGATTGAAAGACGTCTGAAAAAAGAGATTGTGGAGTTGGAGAATAAGTAAGGAGTGCATATGCCAATGGGTACTTTTGTAAATATTCAACTATAACACTGACTTCTATAGATTGTTCCTAAGTTTTAAGAATTTCAATATTGTTGGATGCATCCATTGTAATTTTAGGTGATGATGAGTTTGTCACAGTGGAAGGTCCAGTTGCTTGAGATTTGGATGCCTTATGAGAAGCCTTTGCTTTAGAAGTCTATCCATCTTCTTTGGAATCCATGTCTAGAGTGATCAAGGAATGTGATGCTCAACAAAAAATGATGATGGACCATGTGATGAAAATCACTAGAGTTTGGAGATGATCCACAAAAGAAAGAAAGTTGAATGATGATGCTCCAACAAATAGTTGATAATGCTCCAAACAAAAGACTAGGGTTTGTGAATGGTTGGTTCTTGCTTGATGATCACAATAGAAAGATGATGGCGCAAGATAGTGGTCATGAAATCAATTGTTGATCACAAAGGTTAATAATGGCGCAAGAGTGATTAGGGTATGGCGCAACAAAGAATTTTCGTCGAATTTGGATCAAGAGAGTGATCAATGAAGAAGTTGCGCCATGGGGTAGTTATAGGTGACGATCTTAGGGTCAGAATAGAGTGATGCACAAGATAGGGTTTTTGAGTGTGGCTCAAGAAAAAAATGGCGCAAGTAGTTTTTTTTCGATATTAGGTTGTTGTGCCAAAAAAAATTAGGTTTAGGTTTCTTCTAAAGATGGCGCAAGTAGGATAATAAGAAGTTGGAGGTTGTTACGCCAATGAGAATGACGAGTTTGGTTTTAGGGTTAGAAAAAAAAAGATGTGGCGCAAGAGGGATTAGGGTTGAGTGAGGCGCAAGTAGACTTATGGCGCAAGAGAAGAGAACGAATGTTGGATGGCGCAAGAAGGATGCGACTGAGGTGCGAAGTGGTGCCAAGTGGTGATGTGTGAGGGAAAAGGGATGTGCCAAGAGGATGTGCAAGAGGGAATTGGTTACCGAAGCGAAGTTGGCCTGTGAAGGGGACAAGTTGCGCCAAAGGTTGTGAGGGCTGAGGATGGCGAGGGTCAAGAGAGAATGGTGGGTTGGCGCAAGAAGGCTGCGAGACCGAGAGCTTCTGTTGCGCCAAAAGACTTGTTGCACCAAGGAGAGTTGACCGAAGGTGAGGCTTTGGCGCCAAGGAGTTGCGAGGCCAAAGCTGTTGCGCCAAGGAGCTTGTTACGCTAAAGATGTCCGAAGAGTTATGCTTGTTGCGTTAGACCGAAGTTGGATCTTGTTGCGCCAAACCAAAGATGCTCCAAGGTCTTTTGCTCACGAAGTGATTTTGCTCCAAACTCAATAAAATTTCGATTTTGCTCCAAAACAAAATTCGATGTTCTCCAAACGAGTATGAGAGAGAATTTGTGGGAAAGTGAAAAAAGCAAGAATGAGAAATAGAAGTGAAGTATTTATAGGTGAAGGTTTGTAGGGTTTCTCAATGGTTCGAGATAGGGCTTGCATGGGCCAACTTGTGGGTCCATAAGACTTGAATGACACTCATGTATATATAGGGAAACATCAACTTGAGTCGCGACTGAGAAAAAGATGACTTGAGAATCAAGAAAGAAAAAGATGTCACATGCATGGATGTTATCTTAGAGACGTGCATAGCACTTAAGGAATGTGCATGACCTATTAAAAACGTGCATGTCACATTTATTATGATCTATGTGGAATTGATGATCCATATGGACATGATGCACCAGATGGCTGAAGATGCTCCAAGTTCTTGAACGTGCTTCAATGTTCTTGAACATGCTCCAAGTTATTGAACATGCTCCAATGTTCTTGAACATGCTCCAAGTGACTGAAGATGCTCTAGGATGGTCCAAGTGACTTCAAGTTGATCCAAGGTAGTAGAGATGGTCCATGATGATCCAAGTGATGAAGTTGATGAAGATGGTCCAAGATGCCTTAAGATGATCAAGATGAATGAAGATGCTTCATTCATTCGTCCAGTTGGTCGAAAGAAGCGGAGATGGTCCAAGATGGTCTAAGAGCATGCAGTTGCTCCAAGTTGGATGAAGATGGTCCAAGTGATCAAGTTGGTGAAGTTGCTCCAAAGTACTTCTAGTTGGTCCAAGTTAATGAAGTTGCTCCAAGAGAATCTAAGATGCTCCAAGTTGAATGTAGTTTCTCTAAATTTGGTCCATGTACCTGAAGTTGCTCCATGTTGGTCCAAGTGCATGAAGTTTCTCCAAGAAGCTTCTAGTAGGTCCAAGATGGTTCACAAATGTCCTTTAAAGCTTTTGATCGTCCCCTTCTTTATTGTATACGAGAATGCTCTATGAACCAAGACAAGCACATATGGTCTTCTTGAAAAGGGGATGGTCGACTTTTCATAAGATGCTCCTCTTGGCTAAGGATGTTCCATGATAAAGTAAGTGATATTCTCTATCTAACTTAGCTGCTTGACCTAGATTCTAAGGCATGATTTAAACAGAAAGTATAAAAATTCAAACACTAAATAATCTATCTTTAGGGATGATGTGTGTGAATGTAGATAAAGAATCTGAGAAGGGAATAGTAAAATGCGGTGAAGTGTGTGCATGTGGAATAGATAATCTTAAGGAAACATGAAAACTTAGAAGGATGACTGATTTAGAAGCATTGTGGATTATCTTGTTGTTACTTACAGATTTATCAAGCAACTAAATTCTGTGTATCATCCTTCACTTCGCATTGTAAATCATTTCCTTTGTTGATTATTAATTTTTGAACTCATCAACATCACACAGAATAACCCGATTTGTGATCACCAGATATGTCTCACCGCAATGCATATGTTTGAGTCTAAGGAATACTTACTTCCCAAACCCTAAATACTGACAATCCACATAAACGTTCCCCACTTATTTTGAAAGACATTTATTTTTGGCATTTCTACCACCTCTACCCTTTTATTTACCCATTTCGTTGCAAAAATTATCGCCAAATTCCAAGTGACACGACTTTAAAAGAAAGATACTATATATAAGAATTGAGCAAAGATTATAACTACACTTCTTTATATTTTTGTTGAACTCTTTTTTGATTTTTTTTATTTGTTTTTTGATTTTTTTCGAATCTTTTCTTATAACTCTAACTTTGACAAAGTACACAAGAAAATAATTCCTAGTTTTATTTCTATTTGTACTTTAGTTTGTGACTTTCTAAGAAATTTATTGGAGTGCTCGGAATCGCTTAGGTCACTAACGGAACCCATCACATTCTATGAAACCCTTTTAAATGATATTTCTTCTCTTCCATCCAAGCTTTTATAATTAGGTGGATATATATAAATATATCCCTGGGGGGAATACTCATCGGGTCCCAAAGGTCACAGATTGACTCCACTCTTGAACTATAACTTACTGAAAATATATAACTAGACTCAAAGTGCAGAAATTAAACAGATAAACATGGAACTTGACTTGCTTTGTTTTAACGAAGAAGCCTTTTTATTAGGTATAGATATTCACAAAGCAAAACTTTTTATGTCCCTCAAACTACACAAGTTCACATTTTTGACTCATGAGTTCACTAGGACAGGGAAGCCACAAATATACTATAACACATTGGCTTAACTAAACCTCAGAATTTGCTTCACATTATCCTACATAACATTAGTACTTGATGTATGTTATAACTCTAAGTAGAGTATAACAATGAAGATTGTTAATGGTCACTGAAGTACCAATATTAGTTGTGTACTGGAGCAAACTGAAGAACTACATAATTTAATATTTTGAAAAATCATTAAAGTGTGGAGCAACTAATCTTCTTCATTTGCATAGTTGTGATAACAACGTGCATTATTCTATAAAATAGAATCTTTTTGGTATTTTCTTTTGTTTAAAGTAAAGACAAAAAGACAGAATAAAATCTTTTTGTTGTTTTCTCTTGTGTTAAAGTGAAAATGAAAGTAAAATCTTTTTGGAGTTTTCTTTTGTGTAAAATAAAAATGAATGTAAAATCTTTTTGTAGTTTTTTTTTTAAATTGAGAGAAAAAAAAAACTTTAGATGCCTAGAATCTGGATTAAGCATGCCAAGTCATCCTAGAAAGTGTAAGAACTTGGATTCATCCAGAGTTTTTTGTGAACACATATGTAGTCTCTTCATCTGTGGGAACAAAATGAAGCTCAATATGACCTTTCTGAATATTATCCTTTAGGAAGTGATACATGATATCAATGTGCTTGGTCATTGAGCGGTTGGCTGGATTGTGAGAGATTGTAATTGCATTCTTAGAGTCACAATAAATAGCGATCTGTTGCATTTTGAATCCATAATCTCTCAGTTGTGTTTGCATCCAGAGCACTTGAGAACAACAACTGGCGGCAACAATGTATTCAACTTCAACAATAGAGGTTGAAACACATGTTTGCTTCTTTGAAGTCCAACTGACCAATCTTCCTCCTAAGAATTGACAGCTACCATAAGTGCTCTTTCTGTCGAGCTTGCATCCTCCATAATTTGAGTCAGTAAAGGCTTGGCGATAGAAATTTCCTTTGCCAGGATAGAATAGACCCAAAGAAGCAGTTCCTTTCAAATATTTGAAAATTCTTTTGACTGACATGAGGTGTGATTTCTTTGGATTGGCTTGAAAGTGTGTGCACAGATATGTTGAAAACATGATGTCTGGTCGACTAGCTGTAAGGTATAGTAGTGAGCTAATCATTCCTCTGTTGTGCATCTGAACTACAGATTTTCCATCAAGGTCTGAATCAATCTTGTAGGATGTAGACATTGGTGTCTTTGCAGTTGATGCATTCTCCATGGAGTATCTCATCAATAGATTTTTGATATACTTCTCTTACCAATAAAGATTCCCTTAGGAGATTAAAGAACTTGTAGACCTAGGAAGTAGTTGAGCTCACCCATCATACTCATTCTAAATTCGCTTTTCATCAACTCAACAAACTCGTCACTAAGATCCTTGCTGGTTGAACCGAATATGATGTCGTCGACGTAGATTTGAACAACGATTGGATGGTTTGGATTTTCCTAAATAGAGTCGGATCGATAGAACCTCTTTGAAATTTGGAATCTTCCGAGAATTTGGAAAGTGTTCCATACCATGCTCTTGAAGCTTTCTTCAATCCATAGATAGCCTTTTGAAGCTTATATCAATGGTTGGGGAACTTTGGATCTTCGAATCAGGAGGTTGTTGAACATATACATCCCTATCGATTTCTCTGTTCAAGAATGCACACTGCACATCCATTTGGTAAACCTTAAAGTTCTTGTGTACATCAAATGCCAAGAAAATACTAATGGCATATATTCTTGCAACAGGTGCAAAGGTTTCATCATAGTCTATGCCTTCTTGTTGCAAGTAGCCTTTGACAACCAGTGTGGCTTTGTTCCTGATGATGACTCCATCTTCATCACTTTTGTTCATATAAACTCATCTTGAACCAACAATTGATACTCCTTCGGCTGTTAGCACTAAGTCCTACACATTGTTGCATTCAAATTCAACTAACTCTTCTTGCGTTTCTTTTACCCATTCTGCATGTTGTAGAGCCTCTTTGATTCCTTTAGGCTCTATCATGGATAGAAAGCTTGAATATAAGCATCCATTATTGGTTGCTGAACGAGTCACTACTCCAGAATCTAGATCACCTATGATTTGTTCGGCTGGATGATCCTTTGTCCATTTTGTGAGACGAGATTCCTTAAGGATTTGAGGAGTGAAAACTACCTCATATTGTTCTTTTGGACGAGGTGATTAGTCATAAGTGAATGTTCCTTCAAAAATATCGTCTTGAAAGAGTCCAGAACTACCTGAAATAAGTGGTTCCCCCTCAACTGTTGTGTGCTTGAATTCAATAGATGGAGTGGATCTGAAGGAACTGGAGGGATTGGAACCAGTCGAGTGGGGTTCCCCTGAAACCATGGACTGGATGGTTGGGAGGATTGTAAAGTACCTTTAAGAATGGAACCATCCAAAGGTGGTTCCCCCTCAAAAGTTGCAGTGACTGGTGTTATGACTGGTCCAGATTGATGATAGGAGGTTGGGGTAGGTAGTTTAGAAGATTCTAAAGCGATTTTAGGGATAGAATCATTCGAATATGGTTCCCCCTCAACCCGAGCTTTGGTAGAACTAGAGTCTTTTGGTGGTTGATGAGGTTGAGAGACATCCGGAGAAACTTTTTTTTGTGAGCTTTTCTGATTCTAGGGCAGAGGGTTGAGTTGGAAAGAGGAATTCAAAATCTACTTCAATAACATTAATTGGAGTAGAAGCATTAGCATGTTATGATTGGTTCATTTTATCAAAATGTACTACCATTTGAGGACCAAAGTGGTTTGGATCCAGAACCCTCACAAAACGTTCATCAAATGTGGGATCACTGCTCTCCTCTATCACCCTGTTTCCCTTGTTCGGAACTCAATAGGCTGCAACATGAAGGCAATATCCAAGAAAGATACCTTAATGAGCCTTGAGTGCCAATTTTCTTAGTTGATCCTTGTTGTTCTTGATGTAGCAATGACATCCAAAAATGTGAAAGAATTTGAAATTGGGCTTCCTCTTATTCATTGCTTGATAAGGAGTGACTTCAAGCCTGTTGTTGATTAGGGATCTATTTTGAGTGAAACAAGCGGTTGCAATGGCTTCGGCCCAAAAGTATTGCGGTAGGTTTGCAAAGATCAACATTGATCGAGTGGCCCTAAACAATCACAAGAATGCATTTCTTACCCTTTAAGCTAGGAACTATAGTGGGACCACACATATCGATATGTATAAGCTAAATAAGTTTAGATACATTGTTTTCTCTTATAATTTTGTGAGGAGATTTGAAAATTTTTCCTTGTTCACAAGTAGCATAAAGTATATCATTTCCAAGTTTTAACAATGGTAGTTCTCTCACAAGATCCTTTCCAATGAGTTTGTTGATATAACCAAAGTTGAGGTGCGAGAGTCTTCTATGCCACAACCAACTGATGTAAAAAGCAGCTTTGGAAAGAAGACAAATATCAGGGGTTCCCTCAATTAGTTCAATATCAAGGGGATACAAGTTCCCATTTCGTGGGGAATCAGCAAGGATGTGTTTGTTGGTATCCATAATCAAACTCTTGGTTTTCATGAACAAAACCTCATGATCATTGTCACACAGTTGTGCAACACTAATAAGGTTATGTTTAAGACCATCTCCATATGATACACGTTTAACGGTAAAATTCCCGTTCTATATGTTTCCATGTCAAATAACTTCTCCCTTCATGTTGTTTCTGAAAGTAACATACTGACCTGGCGTTATGATTTTGAAATCTCTGAGATATCCTTTATGCCCGGTCATGTGCCTGGAGCATCCACTGTCAATGTACCATGTATCATCGTGTGGTACCCCGATACAAAAAGCATGCATTTAGAGAGAAGGTTTAGGTACCCACGTTTGTTTGGGTCCTTGAGAATTAGCTTTCTTTGGACCTGTTGGAGTTGGGACAGTCATTTTTTGTTTATTATTAACCTTTTTGGGTTTTGCTTGTTTTTCAGAGACCTTGTTTTTTACTTTCTTAGTGGTCTTCTTTTGAGGTTTGGTCCATGGGAAAGATGGTGGATTGGTGAAATGAGTAGGAATTCCTAGAGAAGGAAATCCATAGTTCACAGGCATTCCGAATTGATCAAACATGGGAAACTGGGTATTTCCCCCCGAACTGATTGATCATTGGTAACCTAGAGTTTCCCCCAAACATGTGATTCTCTCCTATGGATGGAGTAAAACCACAATATAGACCAAGAGTAGAATTTATAGGGTAATTACTATTCTGATACATGATAGGGTTGGTTGTAACAGGTCTTGGTCTCATCATTTCAGACAAATCAGGAAGATTGTTAGGTCTGAAACTATTCTGATAGTGAATTCCAGTTTGGTTTAGAAATCCAGAATTTAAGAAACCATGATTGGAAGGAGAGGTTCTTTGGGTCTTTGAAGTTTTGGGAGGACTTGTATGTCGGGTCTCCCCATTTCCTAGCTTGGTCTTTGGTACTTTGTTATTCGTTCTTTCCTTCTCATCATTTTTAGTCTTAACCACTTTGGGTTTTGAAGGATGGACTACAGTTGGACTCTGTTCTTTAGAGACATCAATTTTCTCTTTTCCCTTATCTTTAGAGACATTAGTTGGCTTTACAATTGTCTCTTGTTGGTTAGGATTGGGTGAAGTGATTTTATTGGAACAAAAGGTCTCTTGAGAATTTCAACAACAGTTTTCTCATTACTCATAGTCTTCAAGGTTTCATCCTTGCTGACTTGAATTGGAGACTTCCCAGTCTGTTGTTTCTTAGAGTATTTACATCCTAAGTCCTTTGTTCCAGAGACTGAAGCATTAAGAGATGGAAATGTTTCTTTACTGAGGAATTCAATAGGTTCAGTCTTGGAATATCCTACTGGCTTATATGATATGGGCTGTTTATCACTAGATTTTGAGTCAGGGACATTTTATTTTTAAGAAGTGGCATCTTCTGAATTGAAACTTTCCATGGTGCCACATTCAAGAGAAAATTCTACTGGAGAGTCAGACTTAGTGTCCAAGTCTGGAAGATCATGGGATGATGTAACTTCCAATGGGATACTTGAGAATGAAGTGGTAATTACATCAGGACTGCAAGTTACCACCTCTTCTTGATCCTCATTGTCTCCAGTGAAGAGACTTGGATCACATGCTAACAACTCTGGTTGAGTATTCAGACCCATGATTTGCTTATTCATTTCATCATAACCAAGACCATATTTGATCCATGATGGTTTTGGTCCAGAGAGAATGGCATGTGAGTTTTCTTCAAGAAGGGTTTTGGATGCCTTATAATTATTGATTTTTGTGTTAAGTTAGGCGTATATCTCACGATTATCTTTTGCAATGATGTCATTTTGATTCAATACAATTTCATATTGTTCAACTGACGTAAGATGTGCCTCAGTTTTGATTCCAGCGTCATTCTCTAACTTAGCCATACTACATCTCAATTCCTCACATCTGAACTGAGTGGCGGTAAGTTCGTCTTTGTAGTAACTGACACGATATTCAATGTTGGTGACATATTCTTTGATTATTTCAGAAATATGGTCAATGTCATCAAGAAAAGGATCAATAGTTAAATGATTATCACAAAGCATGAAGTGTACCTTCTCAACAACTTTTTGATGAAGAGGAGAAGGCTATTTTTCATCATCATCCATGAAGCAGAAGTAGTTCTTGTAAGCTTTTGTTTCTTCAGCTTGATCCACTTCATCACCTGTTTCCTAAACTTCCACATTAGGAGTCTTCATGACCATGAAGGCTTTGTCTTTTGATTGCTTCTTGATCTGTTCCGCCTTTTGAAGGTAGTATGGTTCATCTTTGACCTTCTTGGTCTTTATTTTGCAATCCTTGGCAAAATGATTTTCACCTTGACATTTGTGGCACCTGATTACTTCATTATCAACATAGGACTTCGATTTATTACCTTGAACCCTTGTGTTCGTCCTCTGAGAGTTGTAACTTTCAAAATTTGAATTCTGAGAGTTGAAGCTTTTTTGACTGTTGCTTCCTCCTTGGAAGTTTCCAGAGTTCTGATTATAGTGTTGGGGTTGCTGATAACTTTGTGCTCAGAAGTTCCCAGTTGGCTTGGTCACAAACTTCTTGAAGTTTGGATTGAACTTGGTCAAGAGTGCCAAGCATTCTTTATACTCATTTTCCTCATTGATTTGAGGAGATTCCATTATGGTTCCAATGAAAGCTAGATGATTTTCCATGTACCCATTTGATATGTGAAGAGGTTGTTAAGTTGGCATGTAAAGATTCTGATTGTACTATTTAGCCATACTCGAACTTTGATAAGGATATGCTCAATATCCTTGGTTGGCAAACTGATAAGCAAAGTGGTTTCGTATTGGATTATGATGAGCAATCAAGTTTTGGGAATGATTTTCCATGGATGTTGAATTTACCATGACAAGTCCTTGATTCTTAAAGGGGGTTCCATGAGCTAGCTTGTTGATTTTTGGCTCATGTTGTTGTGTAACGCTCTGTTCCAAATTGACTACTAGTCTGAGGCTATGGCCCGAAGGTCGGTCATTATAAGGATTATGGCTTTTGAGAAGGTAAGTTCAAGGCCCATTTGGGTGCGGGTGATGTATTAGAAGTGATCCGAGTGTTCGGTTCGTGTTTTGGAGCCTAAAGTGGCAGTTCGGGCTTTTATGGAAAATGAATTTTCGTTCGGAAGGTTTTAAGGAAGGTATGAGTTAATAGAAGTGTAGGGCTTCACGTTACCTTTCTGTGGATATAAGGATCGCCGGAATCGGGCTTAGAACGAAGAAATTATGGCCTTCGGAAGTTTCGTGGTTTTCAGGCCCAACCGAGTACACGGGGCATACACAAAGAGTACGCAGGGCGTACGAGTGAAGAAGGCAGTAAGCGGGGCGTACCTTGGAGTATGCTGGGCGTACTGACCAGGATGGTCGCGGATGTTCTTCGGAGTACGTTGGGCGTATGCCAGTCAGATCAGAACCTTATTTTAGGGTCTTGGACCCTATTTAAGCTCCTTATCTCATAATCTAACCCTAATATCTTCAGCCTCCACCCTCTAAAACCCTAGAACTCGTCTCTAATCATTCATGGTGACATTTTGAGCTTCTGGAGTCTATTTTTGGGATGTTTGGCCCATTTTCAAGAAGATGGAGCTTGTTGCAAAGATGGGAATCAAGGAGGAGTTTATGGATCTGGATTTTAGGACTCATTCTCAACTTAATGAAGGTATAAAGCTTTGAACTTGATCATTCATTTCTTAGATCTACCATTTGTGAGTTTTAGTTCATTTTGTTCCCAAGGATGAAGCTTTATGGTTCAAATCCGATTCTTAGGCTTAGGGTTGCCATCTTTGGTGCTAACTGAGTCCCTAAGGCAGAAAGTTGCTATCTTGGAGGTCTTAATGGGTTCATGCAAGAGTTATGGTCATTTTCATGGAAGTAGATTGCTATACTTTAAGTTTGGGTTCATGTGGGTCATATAAAGTCACCAAGATAGTGACTTTATGGAATAAGACGTTAAGTAGAGCTCAGATCTGTAATTTGGTCCCTTGGTTTGAAGCATTAAGTGATTAATAGCAAAAAGGACTTAACATTGGAGTACGCTGGGCGTACAAGCTGGTACGCGCTGCGTACAAGTCACGAACCTAGTACGCGCTGCGTACAGCTGAGTACACCCTGCGTACTCGTTCAGAATGGGTTTCGCATATTGGGTTTCGGTATGGGCCAGATGTTGGGATTATTTATCTTGGGCCCTTTGGGCCATCAGGTTGTGGGCTTTTAGTGA